CCGCTTTCCTGCCTGTCTCTATCAACGCTCTCTTTACCTGCTGCCCCCCCCTCTCTTTATCCCCGTCCTCTATTCCTTTTTTCTTCCATTTCTCTGTTCTCCCTCTCTATTCCTCCAGCCTTTTCCGCCTCTATCTACCCCGTATCTATCTATATTCCTCTTTTCTTCATCTCATTACACGTTCTATTCCTTCTCTATTCTTCATCTCTTCACTCTCTCTTTTTATTTTCTCTTTTCGTTTTGCGTTCTCTAACCGCTGTCTTTTTTTACTTTTTGTCGCTCTCTCTACTCCTCCTGTCTTCTTTCTCTCTGTCCTCCCTCTCTCTTCCTCCTCACGTCCTCATCCTCTCTAGCTCTGTCCTCCCTCTCTCTACCTCCTCTCTCTCTGTCTCTGCCCTCTCTTCCCACAAATCACGGCAAACGTACGCGGCATGAGCTTCCAATCAGAATTGCAAAAGTCACCGATTTGTTATTCTAAAATCTAAACCCATTGATGTCCTGCAGGAAAAGAATACACGTATATCCGGTCACAACACGACACAACGTTTATAAAAACGTTGCCTGGGATGAATAATGTATACCCCACTGTGTGCTCAAGGAAATTGTGGGCAGGAAACTGTTATATTGTTTGCAGCAGATCAATGAAGTAATTTGCTCTGCACCTTTTTAAACCCGACCCTCGATGGGGAACCTTCTCTGATACGTTGTTGTTTTTTTTCCTGCGCTTAACCCGGGGGGAAAAACGCTAACAAACAAGCATGATCAGCAACTTCTCTTTTTTTTCCTTCAAAAGGTAAAAAAAATAAGAGAAATGCAGATGGCTCAGCATTTCATTTTGCCAGCATCAATTGAAGATGAAAGATTCCAGAGACAAAGCCTGTCTACAACACATGTTCATTTCGGTCGTTACCAAGTCCAAGGCCGTTACTATTATATTTATTTTTATAGTAGTACGTGTTTATCTCCAGAATGTTCAAATTATACTATCCACTTAATCTGGTAATACGAGGTTTTAAGGAGACAATCGGATTGCGAAACAATATGAGGAATACATCATCTTTAATAGAGGCGGGTTCGACATTTATTGCGTTTGAAATACGTTCGAATTACGAATTAGTTTTAATGTGATGCGCACATCGTGAAAATAATAATTTGATAGGAGCGTCTTTATTGCTACTTTTTTCTCGCGCTGTCTTTTGGGAAAACCCGGAAAGACGAGAGATGTTCTAATGGATGTGCGCTCGTGTTTATCCATGCTCTCTCATCCATATTTCCTTCATGGTTTTTATACAGCGATAATATAAACTTATGAAGATTAATGTGGATTTTTACACTCCTTGTTTGGACATGTTTATAGATAACCTCCATTTTTTCCCTCTACAGAACAAACGGTTTTGTTCGTTGTTTTTAAAAAAATAGATTTCTGTAAAGTGCAGACGTCTGAGGCTTGTGAAAAAATGAATGATGGCTATATGTTAAAGATGTGTATGTCCCTGAGACTGCGGTGTCGCAGTCATGTGCTTCACTGTCGTGTGCAAGGGGCAAGAGTTCGATTCTCGAGTGTGGAGAAATCTTATCGAGTACAATATTATTATCTCGTACTTCCCTCAGAGCTGTTATGTTCTCCTTAGCCCCGGTTGGCCCTAACAGGGAAGATCAAAGCCCGCCTCTTGAATGCCCAGCGTTGCATCGATTTTAAAAAAAAAGATTTTTTCAAAAAAAAAGGAAGGGGAG